TAGCTCTCAGTGTCCTGCAGCAGCCTGGCCTGCTCTTCCTGCCCCTGTTTTAGCTTCTGGCTCCTGAGTCCTTGAATTAGACACATCCCCCCACACCATGTTGTCCACAGCTCCCTGGCCACTGAGAGACTTTGGCTCTCTCCACCTCTGTTAATGCCGTTGACCCCTGGCTTGTCCTAGGTCTAGCTCTAGCACAGCTTGACTTGCCTATGGTCAGATTGTGTGGCAGGCTGGTGCTCTCACAGTTTGTCCTGGGCTGCTCTCCTTGCTAGGTAGGCAGCTGCTTCCTCTATGAAGCCAAGTTCCAGGACTGCTCAGTGAGTTGGACCAGCCCAGAGATCCCTTCCGACCAGTGCTTCTCAACCTTCCTCACGTGTGGTGACCCTCAACCATAGAATTAGTTCATTGCTGCTTCACAACTATAATTTTGTTACTGTTGTGAAATATAACATAAATATTTGATATGCTGGATATCTCGTATGTGGCCCCCAAAGGTGTCCAGACCCACAGGTTGAGAACCGCTGCTTTAGAATGAGCTGACTACCCTGTTGTACCAGTCCCTGTGTTGGCTTAACCTTGTCAGTAAGTAGCAGATGTCACCTAGGCAGCTCATGGCGGACCCTTGTGGTGTGCCTCAAGACCTCCACATGGAAAAGGCGTCTGGTTGAGAGGCAGAAATTGGAATCTACCATTGTTATTATTTTGTGGCTATCTGTGTGCATGGTTTTGAGTATGGGTGCACATGTGTGGGGCCTAGAGGAGCCATCCAAGCTCCGAGACCACAGGTAGGAGCCACCTGCCTGTGTTGTTTGGCACCAGCCTGCCTCTACCTGAGGCTTTGCTTTGTCCCTTTGCTCGCTGTAGGACTGGATCCAGCAGTCTCCACACTGTGGCTTCTGATTGGAGAACCCCCACTTGAGCCTGAAGGGACTGGCAAGGCCTTTTCTATTCAGGCCCTGCCCGGGCCACACACCTCTGCACTGGAGTCTTCATCTTTTTTGTTTGTTTGATTGTTTTGTTTTTGTTTTTCGAGACAGGGTTTCTCTGTGTAGCTCTGGCTGTCCTGGAACTCACTGTGTAGACTAGGCTGTCCTCAAACTCAGAGATCTGCCTGCCTCTGCCTCCCAAGTGCTGGGATTAAAGGCGTGTGCCACCACTGCCCAGCATGAGTCTTCATCTTTTGTCTCCTCTGTTTTGTTTTAAAGATTTATTTATTTATTTATTTATTTATTTAATGTATATGAGTACACTGTAGCTGTCTTCAGACACACCAGAAGAGGGCATCAGATCCCATCACAGATGATTGTGAGCCACCATGTGGTTGCTGGGAATTGAACTCAGAACCTCTGGAAGAGCAGTCAGTGCTCTTAACCGTTGAGCCATCTCTTCAGCCCCTGTCTCCTCCGTTTATGCATCAGGATCTGTGTGTGTGTGTGTGTGTGTGTGTGTGTGTGTGTGTGTGTACACATCTGCTCCCCAAATACCATGTAGAAATGGTGAGATGAGACCCTGTGTTGGAGGAAACACCTGGTTTGCCACCTAGGAATTTTGAGCAAGTATGAACTTGATAATACGGAGAGCTGGCTGCTAGGGACCGTGTCTGACACTCTGCCCAAGTTCCAGGGCTTGTGGTCCTACAGGGGCTTCATGTGCAGATCCTTGGTGGATGGCAGTGGTCTGGGCCTCTTTCCCAAGAGCCTCTTTTGGTAGACAAGATGATCTCAAGGGTGCCTGTGGCTTCTACCAGGGGCCCCGTGCTTAGCTGGCAGGGAAGAGGGAAGCTATCAGAATGGTGGTTGCCCTTTGTCCCCACTGGCTTGTCGTGAATCCCTGTCTGAAAGAAAGAGCTTGTCCTGGTTAAGGCTTGTTTGTTTGTCAGCTTGACACAAGCTAGGGTCATTTGTAAAGAGGGGGACACATTGGCATTTTCTTGATTAATGATTGCTGTGAGAGGGGCCAGCCCAGCGTGGGTGGGGCCGTTTCCACAGGTGATCCTGGGCTGTAGAAGAAAGGTAGGGGCTGAGCAAGTCATAGAGAGCAAGTCAGTGAGCAGTGCTCCTCTGTGGTCTCTGAGTCGGTCAGTTCCTGCACTCACTTCCTTTGATGATGAAATCTAACTGTAAGCCAAATAAACTCTTTTCTCCCCAAGTTGATTTTGGTTAGTGTGTTATCATGGCAACAGAGAACAAGCTGGACAGTAGACCAAGCTGGCTTCAAACTCATAGAAATCAGTCTGCTTCTGCCTCCCAAATGCTGGGGTTAAAGGTGTGCGCCCCCACATAGACGACGCAGTCTATGCTCTTTAAACCATGAAGCCGTCTATCCAGGAAACAGTCCCCCAACTGTGTGTGTTTGCACAGATACATCTAAGTCTGAGACAAACTTCAGGAGTCAGTTTTCTTTACTATCTTGGTTTTAGGAATTGAACTCAGGTCATTGGACTTGGTGACAAGCACCTTTACCCACTGGGCCATTTTACTGGTCCATGACCCTGGTTTTAATCTCCTTCTAGAAAAGTTGTCAGACAGCGGGCGTTGCCACAGCTGAGGCGTCTGTCCAGGCCCGGACACATGCAAATGCCCAGGTGCAGACAGAGGCTCCTGAGGAGCCAGCGACTGTGGCTCCTGTTTCCCAGTACGACACCCTCAGACTTGCAGCCTTTCTCCGGAGGGTGGAGGCGATGGTCACCCGGGAGCTGAACAACAACTGGCAGAGCCACGCCTTCGACGGTTATGAGGTGAACTGGATGGAGCAGCAGCAGACGGTAAGACCCGGGCTGCTGTCTTGGGGTGGTGCTCTCCGAGGCTCTGAGGTCTCTTTTAGAGCTGCCCCACCCTAGGGACAGTAGTACCAGCACCAGCCAGTATATGAGGTGCAGAGCGTGTATCACCCTGGGAAGAGGTGGCCCTCTTGGGGGAAGCCCATCATTGTAACAAAATCAATGGCTGAAGAGGTCAGGGGTTGTTGCCAGGGCAGCCTGCCATTAGCCTGGCACCATCCTAGGTATGACCTGCTGTGGTCTCTTCTCTCAGGGCAACTGTAGCCCTATTATCTTTACTTTATAGACGAGGCTTGTGGAGGCACAGTGCCTTGCCCAGGTCTGCACAGCTCTGAGTTATCTGAGCTGGAACCTGAACCCTGGACTGTGTGTTAAAGGCACCAGCCTGTCTTGGCATTTCCGCCTTTGAGGCACAGCTCCAAGCTGTCCCTTGTGGACCTGAGTGTTCAGCTTAGTTGACAGCTGAAGCGTCAGCCTTGTTTCACAGTGGGCCTCAAGTCACCTCTACTTCTCCAGTGTATTGTAGAGATCATTTAACATTGATTTTGGTGCTGCAGATTGAAGGCAGGGCATATGCATGGTGAATACGTACTCTGTCACCAAGTCCCGCCCCAGCCCTATAGGTAGACCTGCTTGCCTTCGTGCCTATGACCTCGAACTTCTGACTGCTGCCTTTCCCCACCGAGTACTGAGGTGGTAGGCAGACAACACCACACCTGATTATCCAATGCTGAGGATTGAACTCAGGAATTAAAAATCAAGAGCATGTTATGTGCCTGGCATGGTAGTATCCGTTTGTTATTCCAGACTTGATGCGGCTAAAAGAAACCCAAAAATTAAAAAACAAAACAAAACAAAACTAATCAATTAAACAAACAACAAACAAAAAAAACCCAGCCATTTTTAAAAGGTCCACAAGATGACAAAGAATATTTACTGTTCTTGTCATTCATCTTGTTAGTGTGACAGTCACTGAGTACACTACCTTAGCTCTAGGGTACGGGCTTTTTGTTTTGTTTTGTTTTGTTTTTGAGACTGGGTTTATGTGTGGTCCTGGAACTCAGAGATCTGCCTGCCCCTGCTTCCCAATGCTAAGATTAAATACGTGTGCCACCAATGCCACTGTGACTTTAATTTCTGTGTGTCTGTCTGTCTGAGGGTCTGTACATGTAAGTATGGAGATCAGAAAGGGTATAAGGGTGTCTGTCTTTTTGTTGTTGTTGTTGTTTTTTTTTTTTGTCTTTGTTTTTCTTTTTTTTTTTTCCTTTGGTTTTTCGAGACAGGGTTTCTCTGTGTAGCCCTGGCTGTCCTGGAACTCACTCTGTAGACCAGGCTGGCCTAGAACTCAGAAATCCGCCTGCCTCTGCCTCCCAAGTGCTGGGATTAAAGGCGTGTGTGACCTGGTTAAGGGTACCATCTCTTAGAATCAGAGTTACATAGCCGGGCGATGGTAAAAAAACAAAAAAACAAAAACAAAAAAAATCAGAGTTACAGGCTGTTTTTGGTTGCCTGATGTGGGTGCTGGGTTTTGAACTTAGGTCCTCTTAAAGAGCAGTACATGTGCTTAACCTCTATCTATGTTTGCTTTTTTTTATTTTGAAATAGGGTCTTACTGTGTATCTCTGGCTGGCTAGAACACATTGTGTGGTCCAGGCTACCGTCGAACTTGCAGAGACCCCTCTGCCTCTGCCTCCGGAGATCACACCATCAACACCAGGTCTGCTTTGCTTCACTGTTATGTTACTTTTATGTTTTAGTTTACTTATTGTTGATAGTTTAAGTAAAAATTTATTTAGCAAGGTGAATGTTCCAAAGACAGGTTGCAGTGGGTTTCTTCAAAGCAGAGTGCCTTTTACAAACAAACAAACAAATGGCAAAACAAAAGAATAGTATCTTACTATGTAGCTCTGGCTAGCCTGGAACTCATTACCCAGACCAGGTTGGCCTCAAACTCAGAGATTTACTTACCTATGTGGCCCAGGCTAACCTCATGGACGGTACTCTACCTGCCTCAGCCTTGAGGACTGGGTTGCAGGCAGGCATCAGCACACTGGTGGGCCTGTATTCCTTGTGACTCTGTGTCTGTGAATGGGGCTGCTGCTCTCTGGCCTTTGGGAGCTCACCAGCATTTCCACAGCTTCGCACCTCCCTGCCAATGGGCATGTGTTTCTGAAGGCTTGGTGTAGAGCAGGCTCTTGTCTTGAGCCAATCATGAAATCAGGAGGTGTGGAGGTTTACATAGAATTTTGATTCTCTGCTGCTCTCCCTCTCCCTCTAGGGTCCATTGGAGCTCTCACCTGTTGAGAAAGACTCCCAAGGCTTGATTTTGGGGAACAAGGAGTGGAGCCAGACATGTTGGCACATACCTGTAACCCCAGCACCATGAGGTGGAAGCAGGCTTGCCATAAGTTTGTGGTTAGCCTGGGCTATATACTGAGCCACTGAAACGCTTCTCTCCCCCTGATGTGTAAGAGTCCATAATAAAATTGGCATGGTGGCCTTTTGTGGTGTGTAGGCCAGTGGTGTCTAATGTTTAGTGCAGCCATTATCTTCCAGCCTTTTCCCCATGTGTAAGTAAGCTTGGTGCCTGCTCAGCTGTGTTCTTTGGACTACCGTCCAAGGTTCTGGAAGTGTCCTGGAAGCACACAAAGGCTGTGTATTTTCTGCCTTTGAGGGAAGAGGTTGACACAAGGTCTTGTTAAGCAGCCTTGGTCAGCTTGGTACTTACTGTTCAGCTTGGCCTAGAACTCATGAGGATCCTCCTGCCTCAGCCTCCAAGTGCTGGGACTGGGATTATAGGGATGAACCTCATGCCCAAAGTAGTCTCTATAGTCTCCTCTGGGCTGCCCAGCGGGAGTGGGCAGCTTTTAGGCCTTGGGCTGCCTGGGCCTGGGTGTGATTTTCCTATGCTGCCAGGATGCTACCTACTAGTCCTGTGGTTCCCAACTTTCCTAATGCTGTGGCCCTTTAATACTGTTCTTCATGTGGTGACCTCATCCATACAATTATTTTTGTTGCTATTTCATAACTGTAATTTTACTATTGTTAAGATTCATAATGTAGATTATCTGTGCTTCCCAATGATCTTAGGTGACCTCTGTGAAAGGGTTGTGACCCACAGGTTGAGAACTACTTTCTAGATGGAGTTAGTGCTTAGGGCTAGGAATGGCCTGTCTCTGCAGGTGTCCTGTCTGCACACTCTGGTCTACCCCCTAGCCCAAGGGCAAGGTCTGCATGTCACCGGCATTTCCTGGAACGCCACAGGCTCTGTGCTGGCCTGTGCCTATGGTCGGTGAGTGACAGCTGGGGTGGTTGGGAAGTAATGGAAAGCTGAAGACTGGTTGAGACTTCTGTTTCACAGCAGCAGGGTTAAGAGTTAGGTAGAGAGCAGAGGGAGGTGCTGACAGCCCGTGCCTCAAGGCCTGTCTTCCTACATGGCAGCGAGCCCTGGGTTGAGTTCACCTTGGTCACCAGTCCTTATTCCGGTTTCTGTCACTGGATGTTCTGTGGTCTCCAATCACCATGCGTGGACACACTCTTGGAGGCTGGGGACCCTTTTCCCTACCATGGGGGGAGGGGTCTCACTGTGTAGCTCACAATGGCATTGGTCTCTTTATCTCAGCTTTCTAAGTGCTGAAATTACAGGTGTCTTTTGCACATAGTCAGCTATCCCCCAGGTCAAGGGCAGGATCTGCATGTGTCTACAATTTTCTGGAACACCCAGGGCACGAAGACAGCCCACCTACAGTGACATCATGCTTGGCTTAGGGACTCTTTTTTAGAGAACATGGTGCCCTTTTGAGTGCCACAGGGGAACCTATGACACATACCCATAGTACAGTTTGGGTGTGAAGGAGACTCAGGCTAATTTGGGGGGTGGTTAGTGGGGCAGAGATAGAGGAGGTGATTAGAGCCGCAGAGGTCACTCAGGCATGTCCCCTCCCCATGCAGACTAGATGACGGGGACTGGAGTACACTCAAGTCCTATGTGTGTACCTGGAACCTGGACCGCCAAGGCCTGAACCCCCAGCAGCCGTCAGTAGTGGTGGAGGTGCCCAGTGCTGTCATGTGCCTGGCCTTTCATCCCACACAGCCCTCCCACATTGCAGGTGAGTGTCTGGCCCTCCCAGCCTCCTCTCTTCCCAAGGCTCTCTTCTCAAGGAAGCCTTTTACTGGACTGTCAGCTTCTGACCAGGGCAGGCCACTTGGGAGACAGAGGTTGCCCTGGTTCCTGGGTTATCTATAGCTGGGCCATAATTTGCCTGTGTGAACCTGTGAGGGGTGTGGAGTGTGGAGGAAGTTGTTGTTTGGAAGGGGCTGAGTCTGGCTGTACAAGAGGAAGGATGAGAAAAAATGGGATGAAGAGTTAGGCTGTTCTCAGTGCTAACAGCAGATGTGCCTGCTGGACAGGTAGGTTTCTAGGCATGCGCCTCAGCTTTCTGTGGGGATGGTCCTTAGGCTGTAGTAAGAAGGGACTGAGTTGGAGGCCCAGGAATTAGGATTTTCTTTGTCCTGGCTACATGGGATGGCAGGCTGGTGTGGCCAGGCTATTCAGACCCTGTTCATCCTCATAGGGGGTCTATACAGTGGTGAGGTGCTGGTGTGGGACACGAGCCGGCCCGAGGACCCGCTGCTCTGGCGTACAGGTCTGACGGATGACACTCACACGGACCCAGTGTATCAGGTCAGGAGGCTACTTCCCACTCCCTTGGCAGGGGTGGTGGTGTTGGTGGTAGGGTATGGCAGCAGCTGCTCCAGAGTTGGTTACTAGGGAGGTTGGACAGCTGCCTGGGCATTCTTGGAGCTCCAGTCTGAGTTAGCTCTCCCATGAATTGCCCTCTAGGGCATAGTGTTCGTCCTCAGCTTCCTACACAGGTGGCCTGAGCCTTCTTTCTTGGGTGCTGGCATAGTGGCCTGGGGGAAGGACTTCAGAAGCTTCTGGCTCGGAGATTTCCCCTAGAATTCTTTACCCTTACAAGCAACAGCTCAGAGGGTGAGGCTGATACTGGGGATGCCGCCTCTGTCCTGCTTCTCAGGTGCTATGGTTGCCTGAACCCCGGCACAGCCACCGCTTCCAGGTCCTGAGTGTGGCCACAGATGGGAGGGTGCTGCTCTGGAGAGGCAGTGGGGCTGGTCAGCTGTGGCTCTCCAAAGGCTTTGCCCTTGCTGTGCAGCAGCTACCTCGGAGCACCAAGCTGAAGAAGGTGAGCACCTGGGCTGTGGGGACCCACTGTGTTTTTCCCTCTGGCAGTCAGGACTTATCATTGATTGTACTTTTCCACAGCCACCCCGTGGAGAGACTGAGGTGGGGGTGACATCAGTGGCCTTCTCCAGCTTTGACTCCAGCCTTTTCGTTCTGGGCACAGAAGGTGGCTTCCCCCTCAAGTGTTCCCTGGCAGCAGAGGCAGCTGCTCTCACTCGGATGCCCAGTTCTGTGCCTCTTAGGGCCCCGGTGCAGTTCACCTTCTCTCCCCATGGTGGCCCTGTGTATTCTGTGAGCTGTTCCCCTTTTCACAGGTAAGGGCACCAGCCTGTGCTTGCCACTAGGCACAGGGAAGGCCGCCCTGCCCCAAGCTTTTAAACACCAGCATTGTGATTCTTTGCAATTTGGTGGTTGGTCCCAGGGCTTGTCCCTTTCTTAGACCAAGGGAACTTTCCATGGGCAGATAGCACCATGCAGGCCTTTCTTTTTGCATGGTCTAGGAATCTCTTCCTGAGTGCTGGGACTGATGGCCATGTCCACCTGTACTCCATGCTGCAGGCGCAACCCCTCACCTCACTGCAGCTCTCTCACAAGTACCTGTTTGCTGTGCGCTGGTCCCCTGTGCGCCCCTTGGTTTTTGCTGCTGCTTCTGGGGAAGGTAGGTAGGCATGAGCTATACAACCTGCCTTTTTTCTTTTTTAATTTCTATTATTTATTTTATGTATATGAGTACACTGTCACTCTCTTCAGACACACCAGAAGAGGACATTGGATCCCATTAGAGATGGTTGTGAGCCACCATGTGGTTGCTGGGAATTGAACTCAGGACGTTTGGAAAAGCAGTCAGTGCTCTTAACTGCTGAGCCACCTCTCCAGCCCCAATACAACCTGTCTTAAGTGCAGAAGTCATGCAGTGAAGACGGCTTTTATTCAGGCCACTGGTGCTCACCATGAGATGCATGGGGAAAGTTGGCATAGCCTCTCAGCTGTAGTTTCTGTATTTTCTGAACCTTTCTCCCTGCAGGTGATATACAACTGTTCGACCTCCAGAAAAGCTCACAGAAACCCACAATTTCCATAACACAAACCCAGGATGGAAGTCCTGTCTACTGTCTTGAATTTAATAGCCAGCAGACGCAGCTCTTAGCGGCCGGTGATGCTAAGGGCACGGTCAAAGTGTGGCAGCTGAGCACAGCCTTCACAGAACAAGGACCCCGGGAGGCAGAGGACCTGGACCAGCTGGAGGCAGAAATTGCTACCTGAGAGCCACCAGGGGCAGGGTGGGGTGTCCCCTTTGGATGGCTGTGTGCTAAGCTAGATAAAGAGGAACCAAGCCTGTAGGGGAGAATTGAGTCCTTTATTTTGTCTTTTACATGAAAACAGGATTTGGGAAGAGATCGAGGGAGATGAGCCAGCTGCTTTGATTTAAGTGGGAATGAGGGCAGCTGGCTCAACAGGGTCTGGGGCCCACAACAACATGGTGATTGTGACTGGAAGCCGTTTACTGAAGCACCATCTTCTACTAAGTCTTACCCTAAGCTAAGCAGGCATATGGTGACACTGGAAAGTGACACTGTCTGGAATATTCTTGAAAGCAGAGGAAGTGACATGCAGCAAAGGTGACAGACAGCAGGCGACTGGCGTAGGTCAGGCTTGCCTACAAGCCAAGAGGCTTGATTAATTCACGAAGAGTGAACGGGTGAACTCGACGTAGTCGAAGGCGGTTGGAAGTTCGCGGCCCTTGCCGTCCACATAGGGCTTCATGTGGGAGACACAATAGTCAGCTTGTTCCCGGGTCAGGTTCTGGAGGAGAGATGGCACAGTCAGATCAACCAGTGCTGACCTCAAGTGCCCACTGGTAAGGAGTTGCACCAGGCCAGTTCTTCCAGGTTCTGAGTCTAAGTCTATGTAGTGCACCCTTCAGCATCAGCTTGCCCAAGAAGTCTTACCTTTCCCAAGTCTTACCTGGTAGAGCTCCTCCTTGGTCACATAAGGCTTGCCTTCAGAGCTGAGGGCCCGGAAAGCACTCTCGATCTCTTCACTGGACTTGACATTCTCCGTTTCGCGGCTGATCATGAAAGCCATGTATTCTTGCAGGGAGACATGACCATCCCTATGGGAGGCAGGTACAATGAGCAAGGGAGGCAGAGGGAGGGTAGGACTGTCCATCGGTCACTACACCTTTAGATTACCTGTTGGGATCAACAGTGTCCAGAATTGCCTCAAACTCAGGATCAGGCTCTCCTTCCTCAACCATTGGCAGGTCGTAGCCCAGGGAACGGAGACAGGATTTGAACTCCTGATGGTTCAGCCGGCCAGACTTGTCCTTGTCAAAGTGTCTGTAGCACAGAGACCAGGGTTCAACACATGGTCCCTGTCACCCAGTTACCCTCAACCAGGGTACCTGGGACATACTCACTTAAACATCATGCTGAATTCCTTGAGGGCCTCTTCAGTCACTCCTGTTGTGTTCCTAAAAGAAGAACAAAAGTAGGGAGTAGGCACTCCATGCCAAAGTGGCTTGTTTCCCTTCCTGTACCAGTCCCTTGTTAACAAGGGCACTCTAGGCTGGCCCCTGCTGGGCCCCCAACTCTGGTCCACACCCTGGTACCTGGCCTGGATCTGCTGCTCCAGGTTGTGCTGCATGCGCATGCCCAGCTGGTCTAACTGGTCCCACTGCTGGGCCAGGCCCACAGTGCTGTGCTCTGTGTACTTGTTGTCCAGGATGAGGGCTTCCTCCATGGCAGCTCCCAGGTCCTCAATTTTCTTCAGCTGACTTCTCATGGCTCGAATCTCCTGGTGTTTGCGCTATCGAGTGAGACAAGAGTAGTGGGAGTATGGAACCCCATACCTCAGGAAACTGTGCTGCCCCTGAACCCAGCTGAGGTCGTGCAGGGTGCAGAGAGTCAAGGAAAGAAAGGTGACAGAGGTGCCAAGAAATAAGGATGCAGTGTGTGCCAGGGCTCTCCGCATAGGGTGCAGTTACAGCAGCCAGCAGAGATGGTAAGTTAAGGGAAAGGGGCCTAGCCGGCTCTAGTCTGAGTGCCTGCCAGGCTGGGGCCTCTGGGGTGGCTAAAGCCCTTTGGGGCACTTACTTTGGTAGCTTCAAGCTGAGATTCCAGAGTTCCTGACTCTTCGACCATGCAGGACCTAAAGACAACAGAAGCACAGTGAACTGGAAGGTTCATTTCTGCAACCCATATTTAACTCATCCTGGTAAAAAGTGCCCACAGCCTGAAATCCTTTTCATTGAGGAAACAGCCTATCTGGTGTTGGCCACCTCTCTCTAACAGGCCCTACCTAGAAAGAGCAGGTGGTCCCATCTGTTTCAGAGACACATGGGCCAGGGTTTCTCAGCTCTTAAAGGTCACCCAGGAACTGAATTTGTTCCCCATAAGAACAAAGCAGCTTCAGGCCTAACTAGCCCCCTTTTTTTGCAGCCACAGGAGGCCAAGAACCCAACAGATAGGAAGCTATCTTGGGGCTGTGAGGACAGTGAAGAGATTGACAGTCCCCTTAGCCCTGCTTCAGTGCTCTTAGGCTACTGAGGGGAAGAGAAACCAGGGCCAGTAAGATAGGTGGGTGTGCTGGCAAGCTGGTTCCATAGAACAGCTATGATGGAACTCTGAATTTGGGTTCCAGTATCTAGACACGGCCAGGGTAGGCTTCCTTTTGAAGGCCATTTTCTGAGGAACCAGCCCTTGGGGGGAGCCTGCTCCATATAAGATGTGAGTGTGAGCACAAAGAAGTTCCCAGTGAACGAGGACAACACACGAGCAGGGTCATGGGTCACGTGCAGGGACAAGTTCACACAGTGCACACAGCCCGGTCTCTGCACCCATGCCTACCCAAACCTACCCTTGTGACCTGAGCGAGTCAGGAAAACCTCTAAAATCCCCAAGTTCAAAGTGCTTCAGCAAGGCAAGGCACCAGGCTTCCTCCTACCCCAGCAGCAGAGGAGACTCACAGGCACGCCCCGTCCCCCAGGAAAAGGAAGCCCAGGGACTGGGGCAGAAGGCAGGGCCAGTGTGGCAGAGGGGGACAGGCCCTTCTCCCAAGTGGCTAGGGTGTGGGTTAGAAAGCAGAGACGCCTGGGAGTCCAGAGTGCATTGGTAAAACCACAGTGAGGGAAGAAGAGAATAAGAGGAGAAGAACCTTCCAGACAGATCATCCCCAACTTCATACTGACAGACACGAATGACCCGACGATATGCTATGCTATTCAAAGAGAAGAAACCAAATGAATACACCAAAGAGAGGCGGGGCAAGAGCATATCGAGACAGACACGTGCCACAGCTGCCAGCCTGGCACTGGGTGGGAACCAGGGGCAGCTCAACCAGGGGTGTTGGGCTAGGTGGGGACAAGGCTTGGGAGGAGCCACAGGTGAGGAAGCATGGCACTGGACAGAAACAAGACCAAGAGCAGCAGACAGCATAGGGTAGGCAAGCCAGATGCTGCAGTCCTTCCCGCCTTGTAAAGCCTCCTACAGCCTGAATGGTTTGGACAGGTTTCTGTGGTCACTACCCCTTTACATGCCTGACTTTCCCCTCTGCAGAACCTCATAGGTTCTAGTTAAGCCTCTTCATCTGGACTAGTTAGCATGAATAGATAGGGACGGCCTTCGTGCAGGCTCCTACTGGGATTGGGAGACAGCCCTGCTCCTCCCGCGGCTCCTCCAAGCCCTGTCTCTGTAACATCATAATGCTGGACATTTGCCTTTTTCTAGGGTAAACAATTCTGATTACCTTCCCTAGGGTGAAGACAGGACTACCTTAGTCCTAAGAGGGCTGCGGAGCTTCCCTCAACTGGATGTTGTCCTCAGTCTAAGCTCCTAGCATAACCATGCAGCTTCATATGCCTGCCCACTGACCTCTGGAGCGTAATGCCAATTATTTGGTCACCGTGGGAAAACAGGCAAAGAGGGAAGTGCAATCCAGTTCTGGTGACCAGGCACAGACAGGGTTCTCAGATTTGACACTGGCTTCCTAACACAGCTACAGTCCCTACCTTGAAAGAGGGGAAGTGACCCCACCCCCCCCACCCCCCGAAACACTATGGGTCCTTCTAGGAGGGACAATGGGCATGGACAAGGTGGGCAGGAGGCCCATCCTGGGATCTTTTGCAAGCCAGGCCACTGGGGACAAGGGACAAAGGAACAAGCACACAAGACACCACACCACGAGCCCGGAAAAGAAGGCAATATTAACCCGTCGAGGAGGTAGGTTCTATGGAGATGCAAGTGTCCAGGTGCCGTGGCAGGATCCACATCCAGCAGCAATCAGGACGGTGCAGGAGAGAGAAGAAAAGACACAACATTAGCACTCTTCTAATTAGCACCCCTGAGCCAGTGCACCAGGTGTGACTGAGCCTCGCGCAGTTAGTTCTACCTTACTCAGGACAGTTGCCAACCCTGTCTTTGGGGGAAATGAACCATGCAGAGCCCACATTTGCTCTGGAACCCAATCAGACCATGACAGTCTTAGTCTACCACCCCATTTTTTTCTGGGGAAATAGGGTTTTCCTATATCCTCAAATGGCACAAATATGTATAAACCAGGCAGTCATGGCCATCCTCCTGCACTGTGGGATTATAGCTGCCAACTGTACCTGGCTTAGGGACCAGGTTTCAAACAAGCTTCCTGTGCCCCAGAGCTGAAGGCCTGGCATCCGGCTGCAAGGGAGCAGCATGTTCCCTGGCTAGCCCCAGAGACAGGCACCTTGTTTCCTGGATCCACTGGTGGAATGCATTGGCGTGCTGGGCAAACTCCTGGCGCAGCTTGTCATTCTCCTCCTGCCGCCGCTGCTCCTTCTGCAGCTCCAGTTCTCGTTCCTGAGGTAAATAAAAGGGAGGCAGGTGCTGCTACCTTCTGTTGGTTCCTGTCATCTGGCCTCAGATGGGCTCATGATAAACATGGCTCTACCCTGGGAAAGGGCAGTGGGACTTAAAGAAGAGGGGCAGGAAGTCCTCCGGAAGCTAGCCCAACAAGAAACAGCCCAGAGGCAGGGAGCACAGGTTAAGCGGCTTGCCTAGCCAGGTGCACCTTAATGATCTTCTGCAGGTTTCTCCAGGTCTCTTCCAGGGCCTCCATTGTGAACCAGGTATAGGGGTTGGAAGCTACCCGGAAACTCTTAATTTGGCGGTCCAGCTCGGCTAGCTGGTTAAAGTCAGCCTGTGCAGAACTGAGGGATGAGCGGAAGGCGTCATGAGCCTCTCGAAGGGCTTTGATTTCTTCCAGAGAGTTGCAGCGCACTGGGTCTGTGAGGTCCTCTTCTGCATTCTCAAACCAGCTGTTGAAAGCCGATGCCTTTTTGGCAAAGGTCAGGAAGAGGTCTTCTACC